GCTTTTTTTTTTTTTTTTGCTTTCTTTATGTGTAATGTTCTTGATGTCATCCCACAACTCATCTGGTGTTTGATTACTAGTAGCAAAAAGTTCGAAGAAGATTTATTTTTTTTCTTACTACCCATGCTAAAGGTTGATGGTTCGAACCTACCAGCCACTCCTCGGAAGGAAGATTGGGCAATCTACTTCCGTAGTGATACTGCCTCAAAAACCGAAGAAGGGGTCATTATGAGTCAGAGATGACTCGACAGCACATAACAACAACAACAACAACAGTTATGCTAAACTATTATTCAGATTTAAGAAGTCTTCAGGGGGATATTTTTGATTTAAGGTTTAAAGATTATTTTACAGCAATAGTTTCAGGGGTTTATCTAGCTGTTCTGGTTACCTGGTGCTGCTCTAACAGGAATATCCCACAAATGGTGTGTTAGGCTGGGTTCTCTAGAGAAGCAAAACCAGTAAAGCTTATATATACATATAGAGAAAGAGAAATTTATTTTAGGAAAATGGCTCACACACTTACAGAAGCTGGGAAGTCCCAAGTTCTTGGATCAAACGCCAAGCTGGAGATTTTTCCTGACTCACACAGCTGCAGGGGCTGAGGAGCTCAAGGTTGGCAGCAGTGTACCTGCTGTTGACTCCCACAAATGACGAATCCAAGATTTCCAGGCTGAATGGTGGATTGTTTGCTCATAGACAGTTGTAGGCAGCACAATAGGATCCTGATCCACAGAAGAGTGTCTCTTTTCCCAGGATTCCCATAAATATATTGGAAGCAGGCCACACCCCTAGGGAAACTCCCTTTCAACAGATTGGCTGCTCAAAACATGTACATCCGATCCCATCATGGGAATAACCCACATCACAACTGCTTAAACCACATAGAATTGTGGTCCCACCAGGTCCCACCAGCCAAATTTACACATAGCTCCAACTATCACAAATGGGATGGCCTTAACAAATAGGAGTTTATTCTTACTTAAAGCCTTGGAGGCTTTAAGTCTGAGTTCTCTGGTGGTGTAGTGCCTAAGGCATTTGACTGCTAACCAGAAGGCTGGTGGTTTAAACCCACCAACCACTCCTCAGAAGGAAGGTGAGACAATCTACTTCTGTAGTGATACTGCCTTGGAAACCCAAGGAAGGGTCGCTATGAGTCGAAATCGACTCGACTGCAGTTAAGTTTGGTTTTGGCTTTGGAAGTCCAAGTTCATAGTGCCAGGCTCTAGGGGTTGGGTGAAAGCCTCTCAGCCTTGGGCTTCAGCTCTGCCTCCTGCTTCTGTCCCACTGAAGCTGGAGGCTTTTCTTTACTCAGCTGCTTGCTGCTGAGGCTGACAAACCCAAGGTTAACCAGTAACAAGACACAGCCCTGATATTACCAAACCACACAGCAGGCCATTAATTCAAGCACATTAAAAGTCCCAAGATTGGCAGAGCATGGCAGGCTGCTGAACAACGACTCGGCTACGTGCAGGGTTCAAGCGTGCCACAAGCTAGAGACTATTCCCAAGGCTTCTCCTTATATACAGGAAACAGACCACACCCCTAAGGCAGCCACTCAGCTACTCACAGTAGATTCACCATGGAGTTGATTACCAGTCTCATCATGGGGAATACTACATCCAGCTGCCCAGCCACTCAACCAGGCCCAGCCAAGTTGACACAGAAATTTAACTACCACACTAGCCTTCATAGCTCCAGAAAGTTTGGAGTCCAGGAGAACTTGAAATTTTGTTCTCCATCTTCCCCCCTTTTAATCTAGATTCTTCTATAGAAGCTTTGACCAAAATGTTCAGTAATGGTAGCCAGGTATCATCATGTTCTTCTGGTCTCATGCCAAAGGAGGCCGTTCAGAGAAGCAATTATTTTGAGTAAGATAGGAAACCATTAGAATTAAGCAAAAGATGGATCTGCTGTAGATTTTAACAAGATCAGTGTCACTACTCTGTGGTGTGGAAAACTGACTACACTGGGGCAGCAGTGGATACAGAGGAAGGCTATGGAGATGGAGCATTTAAGAGGTATGGCAGCTCAGACTACAGTGGTACCAGTGAAGGCAGTGAAAACTGGGTCAGATTCTCATATCCTTTGAAGACAGAGCCAGGATTAGTGGTAAATTAGATACGAGACAGGAGAAAAAAAGAGGAGTGAAGGATGACACCAAGGTTTGGCTGAGCAACTGGGAAAATGGAGTTGCCACCTACCACTATGATGCTGTTTATGAAACTGTGTGTGTGTGTGTGTATGTACGTGTACATGTATATGCATAGAGAAAGGTATAAATAAAAGTGGTTATCTTATAGCAATGGAATTTCAGGTTATTTTTATTTTCTTTCTCATGGGTTTTTTTTCATTTGTTTTTTGCATTAAAGTTTTACAATGTGGTTGCTTTATTTAAAATTTCAAAATATAAAGTTATTTTTACTGTGGAAAAACAACAGTGTCAAAAAGGGAGTGAAAGGACTGGAGCAGAATGCAAAGAAAGGGGAATGGAAGGGTCTGGGAGGTAAGTAGAAAGACAAATGGGAGTCTGAGAGAGAAGTAAAAGGAGGAACCATGGGACTTGGAAATGGCTGGGAAGTTTCAGAAGATATTAAGTGGAGCTGCTGGGAATAGGAGAAACTGAGCAGTGGGAAGGGTCAGGGAAACTTTGGAGAGATTTGAAGGTACAGAGGAATTGGCGAAAGTCTAGAGGAATAGGAACAGATGGGGAGACTAGTGAGACTGAGAAGCCAGGAGGAGATGGGAAAGACTAGTGAGACTGACTGGTAATGGAAGAAAGGGCAACTTGGGAGTAATGGGGAATTTGGTGAGCTCAAGAGTTTGTGAGGGACTAAGAAGAACAGATAGAAACTGGAAGAGTCTGAGATTGGATTAGGAGAGATAAAGAATGGGGACTCTTTGGGGAGCAATAGACATCATAGAGAACAACGTGGAGCACTTGAAGAGAAGGACAGGAGCAATAAAAGAAAAAGAAAAGGCAGACTTTGGAGCTGACAGCCTGTGTTAAATTCTCTACTTCATCAATACTTAGCTCTCTATGCCTCAGTTCCCTCACCTATAGACCAAAACCAAATTCACTGCCATCGAGTTGATTCTGACTCATAGCAACCCCCACTGGGTTTCCAAGGCTGTAAATCTTTATGGAAGCAGACCGCCGCATCTTTCTTCTACAGAGCAGCTAATGAGTTTGAGCCACCAACCTTTTGGTTAGCAGTCAAATGCCTTAATCACTGTACCACCAGAGCTCCTTCACCTATAAAATAGAGATAATAATAATATAATAATAATAGATAATAGATATACCTGCAGCAATGGGCTCAGGTATAGTAGGGATTGTGAGGCTGGCACACAGGACCAGGCAGTGTTTTATTCTTTTGTGCATAGGGTTGCTACGAGTTGGAGACGACTCAATGGCACATAACAACAACTAAACCAAACCAAAACCAAGTTCACTGCCATGGAATCGGATCTGACTCACAGCAATCCCTCCTTGGGTTTCTGAGGTGGTATCACTACAGAAATAGATCACCCAGTCTTCCTTCCAAGGTGTGGTTGGTGTGTTTGAACTGCCAGCCTTCTGGTTAGCAGTCAAATGCCTTAGACACTATACCACCAGAGCTCCCAACAACAATAGATAATAATAATAAAATAGAGATAATAACCTGCCTCACAGGGTTATTACGAGCTTTGGTGTGATGTAGTGGTTCAGGCATTTGGCTGCTAACCAAAATGTCAGTGGTTCAAACTCACCAGCCACTCTGGGGAGGAGAGATGAGGCAGTCTACTTCCATAAGATTTATAGTCTTGGAAACCCAATGGGGGTCACTATGAGTCAGAATCAACTTGATGGCAGTGAGTTTGGATTTTGGTCATAGGGTTATTATAAGGATTGAAAAATACAATCCACATTGAAAACATAGTGTATTGCTGGGCATCTGAAAATACTCAATGAATGTCAGGTACTATTATTCATAAACAGCTTCTCAAATTCAAAGAGAAAAACAAAAGTCCAATAATAAAAACTTCGTCTCCCATCCAAGTATTTAATTATTTGCCTTTAAATGGTTATTTTTCCTGAGGATATGAGAAGGAAAACAAATCCAACCTGCTCTAAAGACTGGTCCAAAGCTTGGCCATCTGAGCTTTCTTCACCATTTAAAATGAAAAATGAAAGACCTTCGTCCAATGAAACTTCAGCCTGTCAATCAAACAATGGTAAACCAGTATTATACTTTCTCGGCTGATAAATTAAAAAATATATACTTTTTCATAATATGGTAAATTGTAACTCAAAACCAAACCAAACCTTTGACTCACTGCCATCGAGTCAATTCTGACTCACAGTGACCCCCTTTGGGTTTCTGAGGTGGTAAATCTTTACGGAAGTAGATTGTCCAGTCTTCGTTCTGTGGAGCAGCTGGTGTTTTTAAATCACCAACCTCCTGGTTAATAGTCAAATGCCTAAGGCACTGCGCCACCAGAGCAAATAGTAACTCAGTTATCTATATTAATGAATAAGGAGTAGGACAGATAATACTGTTACATTTAACTTTGAGTCTGATTTGTTCATAAGTTGTTTTTTGTTGCTGTTTGTTTGAATGTTTTGGCAACTTCAATAAAAACCAGAATAAAGTAAAACCAAAATCTTCTCCATCTGTCTGAATCTGTTCCTCAATCCAGTCTGAGTATTACGAGTATTACTACTCAGTTTAACTAAAATGTGAACTCAAGTTAAACTTTTTTCTTTCTCTGTTTTTTTTTTTTTTTGGTGCTCTCACATACGCACACTTGCACACATACACACACAGAAATACCACACTACTTTACTCCATGTTCTGGTTACCTAGTGCTGCTCTGACAAGAACATACCACAAATAGGATGGCTTGAACAAACAGGAGTTTATTCTCTTACAGTTCAGGAGGCTAGAAGTCCAAGTCCAAAGTGCCAGGCTCAAAGGGCTGGGTGAAAGCCCCTCAATCTTGGGGTCCAGCTCTGCCTCCTGCTCCCAGCCCACTAGAGCTAGAAGCGTTTCTACACTCAGATAGCTGCTGGCTGCTGAGGCTGACAAACCCACGGTTGACAAGTAAAAAGGCACAGGCCCGATGTTACCAAACCACATGGAAGGCCATTAATTCAAGTTCATTGTAAGTCCCAAGGTCGGCAAAGCATGGCAGGCTACTGAATAACGACTACATGCAGGGTCCAAGTGTGCCCTATGCTAGAGACGATTCCCCAAGGCTTCTGCTTATATATGGGAAGCAGACTATATTCCCTAAGGCAGCTACTCAGCTGCTTGTGGTAGATCCCACTATGGAGTTGATTGACAGTGTCATCATGGGGAATAACTACCACCAGCTGCCCAGCCATTCAACCAGGCCCAGCTAAGTTGACACACAAACATAACAACCACACTCCGTAATTTTTTTGTAGAAATAGAGGCAATTTAAAGTCTTAAAAGTGATATATTCTTAGTTATAAACATGTTAATAAACAAGTTCTCATTTATTAATACTGTAAAAGTCTGGATCTTTGGAATGTTAACCACTTAGCATATGCTTTTCATATGCTTATTAAACTTTAAAGGAAGTGTGAGAAAGGAATACATTCTACAACAAAAAACTCATAGTTACTAAGAGTCAAAATACATGATTAGGAGTAAAAAAATATATAAAAGTTTATCTTATATTCTGTTTGTATCTGCAATACGCACTGCTGTAGAGTCGGATCCAACTCATAGCAACCCCTCCTTGGGTTTCTGAGGTGGTATCGCTACAGAAGTAGATTGCCCAACCTTCCTTCCAAGGAGTGGCTGGTGATCTACAATATGGCTATCATATTAACTTTTAAAATTATTCACCTTACACCATTGGTCTATCTTAGTATCAATGAACTGAGCTGAAGACTTTTCACCTTGATTAATCTGAAACACAGCATAAATAAATGATATGGAGAGTTTAATTTTTACAGAAACAATAAACTTGTGCTCATAAGTCTTTTCTCCAAAATAAGTACAAATCAAGACTCTATATACTTTTCTTTTAAGAAATACATATATGTAATTATAAACTTTTCAGATGGCATATGTAATTACTATGACCAAATCATTTAACTTTTTCTTGGCTTTAGGTTTGGACCACGGGAGAGTTA